GGGGTTGAGAGACAGTTATTATCTGACATATTTTTTCATCTACATCTACAGTATCTACAGATATTTTTAGCTGGAAATTTGTACCAAAAAATTATATTTTATATTGCTATACAGCAACTAATTGAAAAGCACAGACCCAAAATTAAAGAGAGAAAAAGAAGAGAGCACATACATAACAATCTGACACAGATAAAGAAATCAAGTGAAACAAATGGCAATGCAGAGCAGAACGATGGCTTTTTAAAACAGTGGAAATGTTTTAGCTCTGTGTTTACATTTGACTTTCACACAACTGAGGTTTGTGGCTTTATGGAGGGCTCACAGGAGACATATAGGGCCGCAAATGTGACACTAACATCTGGAAAGTGGCTCATGACAATGGAAACAGGCTTTTTAAGGCAATGTTGCCAGCCAATCGTATTGGGTAACATAAGAAGAAACTGGCTAACCAGTACTAATACAGTTTCCTACATCTTTATTCACTGTTTAAGCTATAATAGTCAAAATGCATGCTGTGTGCCTTCAAATCCAAAGCAAAATACTAAATTCAAAGCCTAGGGAACATATAATGGGTTCCTGCATATGGTGGCAGGTGCTCATTTGTTAAGGCTTGTCACAGTGAAATGAACACTCCTGTCTCAAATAATCTCGATACAAATGAGGGCCACACAACACTGTCGATCTGTTTAAGGTATAATAGTGAGCCAAGAGCAATGTATAGCCTACCTATAACCAGGACATAACAGAGTCATAACTGAGCCTTCATGTACATAATGAACAACCAAATAAAGAGACTATATTACTTAATTTGCAGTCAATCTGCTGTCTACAGCGCAGGTCTACGACACTGGCCTTTTGAAGTGCAGTGTCAGACAAACCCCAGTGAACCCGTCATTCCTTTGCTTAGCTGAGAAAGAAAGAAAAATGGAAATTAAATGCAGATGCTTCCATAAATGGGTTTCTCTGCTCTTAAAGAGGAATCAATCAAAACTTAAGTCTGGTCAGATGCTGATATCAAAGTGTGTTAGCGGTAATCAGAGTGTTCCCTGATTGACAGAACAAATCCTGGACAGGTTTGGGATTGTGAACATGTAATATTTTGCCTTTGAGCAAAGGTACTTAAAATACAAGGCTATGTAACAAAAACCTGACACTCTTTACAATAAAAGTTCAAATTAGGTCCAAAGAAAGTTTTTTAAAAGTCTGATGCAATAGAAGTAACTTCTATCTTCTTCGTATAAAAGTTTATCAAAGATCTTTTAGAACTGTCACTTAAAGAAGAAACAAATATGCTGATCCAAAGCACCTGTAAATTATATTTAAGAAGGCTTTTGATCACCAGAGAACCACATAGCCTTGGTCAGGGTAGATGCCATATTTAATTAAACACAAATTAAATAAGGTCATGAGGGTCTGATGTACAATGAATTGCACTAGCGTATTGTCAAAATTTACATTGGATTTTTTTCTAAAGTATTTTCTATGTTCTAGGCCGAATGACTGACAAGATACAAACCTGAGCTTGAATTTCTTTGTAAATCATTCATAAATCCATTTGTAAATTGCCCCATTAAACTGCATGTGACAATTTACATAGTGTGAGATGTTTTACGAATTCACCCTGAAATTCATTCTGCTTTTGATTAATAAAAAAAAGCTCATGAAATAAACTGCATCCATTACAGCATCATTTTCATTCTTGTTAAATAAAACAAGGCATCTACTACCTGACTCTTATGTTGCTGCTTTGGAATGGCATAGTCTTCTTCTGAATAAAGCCTCTGATACAAGATCCCTCTGCACCATGGCAACCATGCATTGTTTATCTGTGCCACCTTATTTCACCTCTTTCTAACAGCCCGTAGCTTATTTAATTCTACTTATCTGAGTGGGATGTATGAAGACATAGATAAAACCTGAGTTCACTTATCTATCTATTTGTTTGTTTGTATTACTTATTAAAAGATGAATAAATGCACTTAATTTTCAAATGCAAAATTTCACTGTAGTATTTCACTCCAGCCAATTATCCCCCCCTACTCCAAACACAATATTATATTGAATAACAGTAACATTTCTGAAATGTCTTCGCATATTTTATGACATAATGGAGGGATACAAATTCGATAATAAATGGCTTTCATTAAGTAAAAGATGCAAGCATTAAGACCGTAAAATACATTTCAAAAGAACATGAGGATATAATAACAGCAGAAATGGGATTCAACAAATCATACCATCCTAACAGATGAAAACTCGAATCTACTTAAACAAAACTAAAGGATTTATTGAACTAGATAAATGAAATGGAAATGGAAAAAAAACACATCTAGCCTAATTTAAATATTGCAATTCAATGTAATAAATTCTAGACTAAACAAATAAATAAAGTAAGTTACCAAGACTGAAAATAAATGTAATTTATACAAAACTGAAACTACACCAGTAAGGCACATCTCTGCAAGCACTGGCCCGTTTGCTTTTTATCAACTCTTGTCACGTCCACTTAAAATAGCCTACACGCTCACAGATGTCCACTGTTTATTTTTCTTTACTTCTTGGATTGATAACAACGTGACTTTCAAAACCTGTAGTGTCTGATTGACATCCTATGCCAGGAACCGCAGTGCGCACTGGCTGTAAAACCAACTTCAGTTTAGTCTTTGTGCGGAAGGAAGCACCTGAGTGACCAACCAAATGCGATAAATCAACCTGTAGCCAAACCAAAAGTGTGTAGATACGCATAGATAATCCCTCACTGTGCCACGTTTTGTTTTATCTGATAGAAGTTCTTCAAGTCAAAGAACCCGTGTAGTTAAACAAGTAAAATATTGTCTTGCCAAAGAACGGAGTGTACTGCGAGAAGGGTCAAAAGTTCCTCAGAAGTCTGACACTAGTGTTTTCTTCTCAGGCTAATAAAACCTTGAACTGTTTTATATATAGCGTGCGATTTCGTTCTTTATAAATTTGATTAATACAGAAATCCAACTTCGACTAAATCATCAGAACAAGCTGCATTAACGATGACTACTAGCATTTTAAGAGCTTAGCAGATCTGAGGTATGAATGAGTAAAAGTTTGTAGGAAAATGAGGGAAATGCTGTGTGAAAGATCACCGCTTGAATTTTACATTTCACAAACGAAACCGGTAATGAAGTGCCAGCAAAGATCTTACCTTCGGTCTCCATCCTGGAGTTCTGAATGAAAAGAAAAATGACGGTTAATTCCAGGAGAGTGTTTGAAGGATATTTGAAGGATTTCATTGTGAAGCCTCACAGCGATCCTCCAAAAGCATGAACAACCCAGCCTATTCTCAAATCACACTGCTTCCAAAGGAAGATGCGCGTTTGTCGCTTTCATGAGGATGAACGATGGAGCAGCGCACGGACGGTCCCGTTTCTGTCACCTCCAGCGGACTGAGAGGCGTGATGAACTCCTCCGATCGCCCTTCTGCTGGAGCTGAGCTCGACATTATCCATTGAGAACTTCGTCTCTGACGCGCGTAGTGAGGGATTATAACGTACGTAGAAAAGCTAGAGGTCGTTGTTTTCATTTTACACTTTCGTGAGAACGTGAATTCATATTTCTGTGATCAGTAATGAGAGCATGGGTTTTTGGAGACACACAACATCCGCACAAAGCCAGCCGAAAATGAATAAAAAGAAATTACGTTTCAACAAAATTAAAATGTTGTTGGGCCTACGTAAAGTATTATTTTAAGTAGGTTAATTTTTTAATTAAAATATACATCGCTTTATTGAGTAATTTGTGGAGAAGAGGCATTACCAGAATCCCTAAGAAAAAAAATCTTATTTTTTTTTACCGTCATGTCCATCAGTGTTTTGTGATGAATTGTATGGTATAGTTAATGTTTAATGAATTAACTTTTTGAAGCCGTAGAATTTTTATTGTCACATTTACCCCTATAGCCTCAAACTGATGCTGGTGTAGATCTGATCGGCAATAAGCCACTACAATATAGTTTTAATAAAAAACTTACCTAAAAATATATATATATTTTTTCATTCTTAATAAAATCTGCATCTATACCTATTTACAGCCTTGACAACCATTCATATGGAATCTGGGAGGGTAAATAATGACATGATCATAGTAGCTTATCCCTGATAAGCTACTATAGCAAATCTGAGGGATGAATGAGTAAAAGTTTGTAGGAAAATGAGGGAAATGCTGTGTGAAAGATCACCTGCAAATCACAATAAAGCAGACTTGACTTTGACTTGACTTGACTGATTGGTATAATTGGTGTAATTACAAATCTCCCCATGTTATAACCATACCCGGTCTCCCCTATTTATACAATTAAATATACTTTATAATATTTGTGACATCATAATATGTAAAACTTGCGACATCATTATTAATTTTTTTACTGTAAAGTTTCGGTAACCACTGCTGTCGTTTTTTACAGTAAATTTAACAAAATAAATCTTACAATCCATAAACAGCACCATTAAAAATAATAATACATTTACTGGAAAACAAGACAAAATTACTGATTAAGGAAATTAACTTTTGCAACATGTTTCTCTAAATATATGTTTTTTTGTTGTTGTTGTTGTTGTTTTGCATTATGATGCAGTAATTCTTCTTATACCCATTTAGAGATCAAGCCAGTCCTTATCAGCAAATATCTTTATATAGCTCAGTGATACATTTTATTTTCAATATGTGTGGAATAATGCATGCTACATGAAAGAGAAACAGCAGGTGGCTATTGAGCTTCAGGCAGTGAGGACCAGTTTCAATTTGACTACTGGTATATGCCAAAAAAAAAAGCTCCTGCAGAAAGATTTTGCATGTATCATTTTATTTAATGTTATCCTTTGCTTTAATATGCTGCAAAAACAAAACAAAGGAATACCCTGAATCCAGTCCAAGCTGGTCACAAACACAACATTCCATCACAGACAGTATAAAACCACTGGGTTACATTAGATTTGAGTGTTATTTAAAACATTTTTGGGTTATTTTTAATTAGAGGTCTCACAACGACAATTGAAATACCGGTAGTAATTGAGTCGTTTGTGATTTACTCTAAATTTATTTTTACATGTTGGAGAAGGGAAGTTGTGGTTACAGAAGCCATCTAGTCACACTAGATGATTTAGCCTGTGCAGGAATTAATTAATGCACACTGGGGTTACAGAGCCAACAAAAGGTCAACCAATTGATCCCCTGCACTTTGGAGCGCAAGTCAGATAACACGACTGCCTGCCAGCCAATGTTCCTTTATCATTGATGAATAGGCCGTGTGCTCTTTGAAATAAAAGAGTGATTAGTCACATGGATTTTAGGTGCATATGTCACTAAATATAGCACATGATACAAAATATTCAGTTGCAAAAAGGGACAGTTTCTTTTATTTTGAATGAGATACTTTATCTTTTTTGTCCTTTGTTCAGAACCTTAAAAATAAAGGTATTTATTATAGGATAACGAAACACAAAACAACACAATACCCAACCCATCACAACAAATTTTTGATGTAAGACTTGAAACACATTTTATAATAGAGAGCGTGTGTTATACTTTGGCTATAATGATTCATATAACATTGTGCTGTAGAAAACAAATGTTGAGAGTTACAGTTCATAGTTAAGAGTTATTATTTGTTCTATCTAAAGAATTCATGTGAATAAAATAATAATATTATATTAATATTAATAATAATTTCAAACAAATATTCGAAAGAAAAATATATATATGATATCCCAAGTCAAATAAATGAACTTCTAGTTTAACCAATTATGCGAGTTTGCTAATGTCACCTTAAAGTACTGTATATGTCCACAAAAATATCCTGATTAAGTGGAGAAGATGATTACATTCTTATCATTCAGAACATACTTTTTATTCAGGTGTTTTTTAAGCCTAAACTTTCAGCAAACATTTAAAGGGATCTTTATCTCCTCTTTTAACCCTGAATATGAAAGAAGAATGAAAACAACAGAATTTGAAGTCACCCCAGCTCCTCTGTTACACTTATTAGCACATAAACAGAAAAGAACCAAATTAACATTCATAGAGGATCGGGCCATTGCATCTGTAACGGATTATCACCATGCGCGTTCACAAATAAATGTTATTCATGATCTAGCAGCTGGAAAGGGAATCTCATCAGGGTTAAATAAAAAATGGAGAGAAAGTTTGGATGAGATGGAGTGAGAGATGCATCATTGTCCTGTGGATGAAAATTTCTTATGAAAATGTCTTTCATTGTGTGCAAAAGAGGACAATTTCCCCCTTTCCATCTTTTCATTGTACCTAAGTAGACATTGTCCATTGCTTCGGATTCATGACAGATTCGTTCTCAATCGTGCCTATCACTGATCTGTTAGAATTGTTGGTGGCAATAACCTGTGGAGAATCACTGAGCTCCATAAAGAACAGATCGAGAAGTGGTTATAAGGCTTTGCTCATCCAAGCTGTATCCCGTACCACTCATTATCTGGCAGCCAGCCTCAGAGAACAGCAGAAGGTTGTTGTCTCGGAAGTCCGTCGCCTGTCGCTACTCAAGACTATTAAATGAGGAAGCTGTATGACTGGGGGACTTTTACTAGCTTCTTCCTCTCAGAATAATCCTAATGTTAAATCTTTACAGTGAAATAGACAGAATGCCTGCAAGAAAGACCTTTTTTTCCTTTGTAGGTCATCCTTTTGGCTTTTGTCAACCTTTAATTATCACACACAGACCGTTCAACCCAAGAAAATTAATTTTTGTATTAAAATTCATAATTTACTCACTCTCATGTCACTCCAAACCTGTATAGTTTTCTTTCTTCTGTAGAACACATTAGAAGATATATTAAAGAATGTTTCAACGGCTATTATCCACAGAATGCCAATTAGACCCCAATGACTTTCACTGAGGGGACTAAAAACACTGAAAGATTTATCAAAATATATTTGTGTGTGTGTGTGTTCTGCAAAAGAAAGTAAATCAGGTTAAACAGGTTTCTAATTACATGACAGTGATTAAATGATGACAGAATTAAAATTTTTGAAAAAAACTATGATTTCCAAGGTTATTTTGGAGAAACTGATTTGCATTTTAAAGAATCTTAGTTTGACGTACTTATTAATCACAGGCCTGTAGAGGATCAACGAAATGCCAAACACTAGTGTGGCTAAATTCCTCAATTCTGTCTTTGAAAAAAAAATAATAATAATAATAAATAAATAAATAAATAAATACACATCATATGGCTGAGACGGAGAGTCCAAAACAAAAAAGCTGTTTTGTAATACAATATAATGTAATATATACATTTAAGTGTAAATTTTGTCTTACGTCAGCTCTTTGTCTCCGCGAGGTATCAGTAAAACTAAAAAACTACATTTTGACTCATTGCTTCCTCTTTCAAGGTTTCAAAATGTTCTTTCACAGGATAAAAAGATCTGTAGTTCAATAGTTCACAAAGCCTCAATATGACAACACTAGCACAACCTGTTTTTATCACATGCACTGCGGGCAACTGTGAATGAATGCAGTATTCATCAAGAAAAGCTAAATATTTAGAAGTTGACAATATCCTTTACTAATTAAACTGAAACAGTGTGTCCTCTACAGCAAAGTCAAGAAGTCTGTAAGAAATTATAGTCAGCCCCGACTCAGCTTCCACTCCGATATGTGTATTAGAAAATGCTCCTTCCCTACAAAGAGCTTAATTATTAATGAATGGTTATTACATTACATTAATTATTTCTTAATTAATGGTTGTTCCCACCTGAAAGAATACCAAAGATGTAGGAACGGAAGGCTATCACTTTCATCGTTATCCACAATTTACATCTAAGACGAAACCTCATTTACATGTGAGAAGATGAATGTAATACAGTATAAAATGTTTGAGCAGAGATTATTCGGGGTTCATTCCGACTCCGCTGAACCCAAGGTACAACATGTACTTTGTCACTGCTATGCTGCAATAAACATCTTCATCGAGATCTTCAATGTCCTCGTCCTTTTTTCTTACAATTCAGTCACTGAGACTCATTCAGGGAGTTGCAAAGTAGTCTACTTATTTGGCACAGGATAAAGGCCTTTTTTTTTTTTCTTTTTAATGTTTCCATTTGTCTGTCCTTCTTTTAGTTACTTGAACAAGACCTCACTCCCCTGAACCTTTAAAAGAGCTGAAGCGCCTTTGGTTACGTCACTGCTTTCTCAAGCACTCATGCACTGAATCCTGCATCTGCTCAAGGGTTTCTCAGGTTTGGCAGGAATTGTAGGTGGGGGGAGTGAATAACCCGCGCTCTCTTCCACCCTCAATACCACGACTGAGGTGAGACCCTTGAGCAAGGCACCGAACCCCCAACTGCTCATCGGGCACCACAGCAATATGGCTGCCCACTGCTGTGTGTGTGCATTTGGATGGGTTAAATGCAGAGCACAAATTCCGAGTTCACCATACTTGGCCA